AGCCTGTGCTTCTAATGTGATGAATATTATCCTCCTGTTGGTGGGTCAGAGCTTCTCTGGTGGCTCAGTGATAAGGAATCCACCCACCAATGCAGGAGACGCAGGTTCAGTCCCTGGGTGGGGAAGATCCCTTTGAGGAGGGAATGGCAATCCACTCCAATATTCATGCCTGGAAAATCCCATAGACAGAAGATCATGGTCCATGGGGTGGCAGAGTCGGACATGACTCAGTGACTGAGCACACACGCATTCCAGGGTTATGGGTCTTGATTATACCATGACTGTTCCTCCCACACATGCCATTGTGGTTACTTCTTTCTGTCTTTAGTTGTAGAAAATCTCTGCTGGTCTTTAGTTGTCTTTAGTTCATTCTAATTGATAATTACTGTGTGTGTGTGTGTATTAGTCACTCAGTCATGTCTTACTCTTTACAACCCCATGGACTATACTTGTAATTTTGTTGTGCCTATGGCAGGCGATCTTCTGGAGGAGGGCAGATACTCCAGTATTCTTGCCTGGAGAATCGCACGGACAGAGGAGCCTGGTGGGCTGCAGTCCATAGGGTGGCAGACAGTCAGACATGACTAAAGTGACTGAGCACACATGTATGGGAGGAGATGAGCTCAGGATCTTCCTACTCTACTTTGTTGGCCACACCTTTGCACCTCTGAATTTTGCTTTTCAAATTCTGTCTGCTGGTCTCTGACTTTCAAATGCAATAGTCTGTGTAATGTAATAATTGATACGGTTTTGTTTTGGTCTACCAGTTTTCCTGTTCTTTCTCAGTTTTGTTTCTCTGTTCCTCCTTGTTTGGGGGGAGAGACACCTCTTTAGGGCTGCATGAATATAATTTCATATTTAATTTTGAATTCCTTTATTGGCTTTGCCAGATTTTTTGCTTTGGGGAATATATTATACATCCTTAATTTACCATAATATACCTGAGTCAAAGCATAGCTTTGACTATGTATACCTTTGTCAGCAATCTGATATCACTTCTTTTTAATACACTGAGTAGGTTTGTCATAGCTTTTCTTCCAAGGGGCAATTGTCTGAATTTCATAGCTGCAGTCACTGTCTGCAGTGATTTCGGAGCCCAAGAAAATAAAATCTGCCACTGTTTCCACTTTTTCACCATCTGTTTGCCATGAAGTGATGGGACAGGATGCCATGATCTTCGTTTTTTGAACGTTGAGTTTTTGAGCTTTTTCACTGTCCTCTGTCACCCTCATCAAGAGGCTTGATAGTTCCTCTTCACTTTCTGCCATATGGGTGGTGTCATCTGCATATCTGAGGTTGATGTTTCTTCTGGCAGTCTTGATTCCAGCTTGTGATTCATCCAGCCCAGCATTTCACATGGTGTACTCTGCATAGAACTCAAATAAAAAGGGTGACAATATACAGCCTTGACGTACTTGTTTCCCAATTTGGAACCAGTCCATTATTGCATATCCAGTTGTAAATGTTGCTTCTTGACCTGCATATAAGTTTCTCAGGCAGGTAAGGTGGTCGGGTATTCCCATCTTTTCAAGAGTTTTCCACAGTTTGTTGTGATCCACACAGTCAAAGACTTCAGCATAATCAATGAAGCAGAAGTAGGTGTTTTTCTGGATTCCCTTGCTTTCTCTGTAATCCAGTGGATGTCGGCAATTTGATCTCTGGTTCCTCTGCCTTTTCTAAATCCAGCTTGTACATCTGGAAGTCCTTGGTTCACGTACTGTTGAAGCCTAGCTTGAAGGATTTTGAGCATTACTTTGCTGGCATGTGAAATGAGCCTTGTACAGTAGTTTGAACACTCTTTGGCATTGCCTTTGGGATTGGAATGAAAACTGACCTTTTCCAGTCTTGTGGCCATTGCTGAGTTTTCCAAATTTGCTGGTATATTGAGCAGCATTTTCACAGCATCATCTTTTAGGATTTGAAATAGCTCAGCTGAAATTCCATCACCTACTAGCTTTGTTTGTAGTGATGCTTCCTAAGGCCCACCCACTTGATTTCACACTCCAGGATGTCTAGCTCTAGATGAGTGATCACATCATCATGGTTATTTGGGTCATGAAGATCTTTTTTGTATATTTCTGTGTATTCTTGCCACCTCTTCTTAATATCTTCTGCTGCTTTTAGGTCCATACAATTTTTGTCCTTTATTGTACCCATCTTTGGCATGAAATGGTCCCTTGGTATCTCTAATTTTCTTGAAGAGATCTGTGCTATTTCCCATTCTGTTGTTTTCTTCTATTTCTTTGCATTGTTCATTTAAGAAATCTTTTTTTTTAATCTCTCCTTGCTATTCTCTGGAACTCTGCATTCATCTGGGTATATCTTTCCCTTTCTCTTTGCCTTTCACTTCTTTTCTCAGCTGTTTTAAGGACTCCTCAAACAACAACTTTCCTTTTTTGCAGTTCTCTTTCTTTGGTATGGTTTTAGTTACTGCCTCCTCTACAATGTTATGAACCTCCATCCACAGTTCTTCAGGCGTTCTGTCAGATCTAATTCCTTGAATAATCTTATTTGTCACTTCCACTGTATAATCATAAGGGATTTGATTTAGGTCTAGTGGTTTTACCTACTTTCTTCAACTTAAGTCTGCATTTTGCAATAAGGAGGTTGTGATCTGAGCCACAATCAGCTTCTAGTCTTGATTTTGCTAACTTTATAAGCTTCTCCATCTTTGTTGCAAAGAACATAATCAGTCTTTTTTCAGTATTGACCATCTGGTGATGTCCATGTGTAGAGTTGTCTCTTGTGTTGTTGGAAGAGGGTGTTTGCTATGACCAGTGTGTTCTCTTGGCAGACCTCTGTTAGCCTTTGCCCTGCTTCATTTTGTACTCCAAGGCCAAACTTGCCTATTACTCCAGGTATCTCTTGATTTCCTACTTTTGCATTCTAGTTCCCTGTTGTGAAAAGGACATTTTTTTGGTGTTCTAGAGGGTCTTGTAGGTCTTCGTATAACTGTTCAACTTCAGCTTCTTTGGCATTAGTGGTTGGGGCATAGACTAGGAGTACTGTGTTCTGAATTGTGTGCTTTGGAAATGAACTAAGTTCATTCTGTCATTTTTGACATGGCACTTGCTAGGGCATTTCGAGCTCTTTTGTTGACTATGACGGCTACTCCATTTCTTCTCAGGGATTCTTGGCCACAGTAGTAGATAAAATGGTTATCTGAATTAAATTCACCTATTCCTGTCCATTTTTGTTCACTGATTCCTAATATGTTGAGGTTTACTCTTGCCATCTCCTGCTTGTGAAAGTTGCTCAGTCATGTCCGACTCTTTGTGACCCCGTGGACTATACAGTCAGTGAAATCCTCCAGGCCAGAATACTGGAGTGGCTAGCATTTCTCTTATCCAGGGGATCTTCCCAACCCAGGGATGGAACTCAGGTCTCCTGCATTGTGGCCAGATTCTTTACCAGCTGATCTACCAGGGAAGCCCTGGTTGACCATGTGCAATTTACCCTGATTCATTGACCTAACATTCTAAAAACCTATGCAATCTTTACAGCATCAGAGTTTACTTTCACCAACAGACACATCTACAGTGGAGCATCATTTCCACTTTGGTCCAGCCTCTTTATTCTTTCTGGAACTATTTCTCCCGTCTTGTGCAGTAGCATATTAGACACCTACTGACCTGGAGGGCTCATCATCCAGTGTTACGTCTTTTTGCCTTTTCATACTGTTCATGGGGTTCTCCGGGCAAGAATACTGAAGTGGTTTGCAATTCCCTTCTCCAGTGAACCATGTTTGTCAAAACTCTCTACCATTACTCATCTGTCAAAAATCTATTAAATATTTGTTTGAAATTCAAACATCTATGTCATCTTGTAGAGAAGGCAATGGCAACCCACTCCAGTACTCTTGCCTGGAAAATCCCATGGATGGAGGAGCCTGAAGTCCATGGGGTTGCTAAGAGTGGGGCACGACTGAGCCACTTCACTTTCACTTTTCACTTTCATGCATTGGAGAAGGAAATGGCAACCCACTCCAGTATTTTTGCCTGGAGTCCCAGGGATGATGGAGCCTAGTAGGCTGCCGTCTGTGGGGTCGCACAGAGTTGGACACGACTAAAGTGACTTAGCAGCAGCAGCATGTCATCTTGAAGATGATTTCTACTGTTCATTTTTTTCTCTTTCCCATAACTCACATTGTCCTGTTTTATTGCTTGAGTGTTATGTTTTGCTTGTATAATGGACATTTTTGAGGATATGTTGCAGAAACCCTGGGTTCTGTTGTGTTCTGTTATCTTCTGAAAAATATTGGGTTTTGTTCTGTCACACAGTTAAGTTACTGACAGGTCGCCTGGAGCTTGGGGAGGCTTTGTTTTATACTTCCTTTAGGCAAAGACTTTAAATTTTACTGTTAGTCTTAGGGCAACTTCCTTAGTTCTAGAATATAGTTGTGTGATTTTTCCCTAAGAAGTAGCCCTTCTCCAATTTTAATCGAAAGCACAAACTGTTGTCCGAGTCATCTAATTATGTGAAACTTAAACTCCAAACTCTTCTTTCTTTTGCAGCAGGCAGCTATTGAAATCTCTGTTTAGTTCATTTAGGGTCTAGTGCTTACTTTCCTCTAGATTCTCACACATAGGATTTTCTGAGATTTTCTTCCTCAATTTCAAGTTGTTTTCGAAGCAGGGGGTTCTATGCTCTGATAACTCAGTCTATTATAGAGTTCAGCTTTCTGACTGAAGTCTCGCTATTCTTCCATAATGCTGGGGACTGCATCTGGTTAAAAGTGGTATAAATGTGGATCTCTGCAAGGGTTGAATCCATTCCAAATTCTCTTGCTTTTCAGTACTCTTCAGTGCCCGTATTAAATACTTGATTTCTTTATTTTGTTCAGCTTATCATGGTTATATATGGGTGGGTTAGTGCAATATGAGCCCCTTTGCATTACTGTGCCTGGAATGCCACCTCTTTGTTTTTTATAACATGTACTTCAGATGGTTAATATATTTCTCATTATGACTTTATTAGATCATTTTTATATCTATTCATAGATATGAAGAGAAAGCTACTAAAGACTTGGAAAGATACAATAAGCAAATCAAGAGAGCCATTGAACAGGAGTCACAAGTACTAAAAGATGGCAAAAAAAAGATGAAACCCACCAGTGTTTGGCATTTGGCACAGAAGCACAAGTCGAAAACTTCACTATCCAATCAGCCAAAACTTGATGAGCTCTTTCAGGCCCAAATTGAAAAAAAAAAGAACCAAAACATTAAAATAGTTCAGATCTCCTTCTCTATGGAAAACTTAAAAAAGAATTTTGATACACAGAAGAAATTTGACTCAGAAGAAAAGGACGAATTTTGCTTGATCCATAACCTCAAGTTTCCTGACGCATGGCTAATTACATCCAAAACAGAGATAATGTTGTTAAATCCATACAGAGTGGAAGAAGCTCTGCTATTTAAAAGACTTCTTGAGAATCACAAACTTCCTGCAGAGCCACTGGAAAAACCAATTATATTAACAGAGAGGTATGGTGAAGTAATTTTTTTTTTTACTCTTAAATTTAAAACATTTACTAATTGAAATTGAAGGTGAAAGGTTGGATTCCCTAGTATGGAAAAGTGATATTTATTTAAAGAAATTGTATAATTTTATTTCTAATATTTAGTAGAATTAATTGCTTTTAAATAATTTTAGACTATTCTAGATAGTTTATTTCTGCACTTAATAAATAGTAAGCTCAGTCCCCCACCACCCGTACATTAGTAACTTCCCCAGGGTAATTCTGACATTGGATTGCCACGGCACTTCTTCATTGTGTAGTCTGTTTTAACATTTCAAACATATACCAACATAGAGTTATACAGTAATTGCCTTTATCAATAGTTACCAGGATTTTCCCACATTTCCTCTGTCTGTCCTTGACATTTATATATGCACATGTATGTTTTTCCTTTTGTTAAAGAATTTAGAATGATTCCCACCTAAAAGAGTTTTCAGTGTATCGCTAAAGTGGCCGTTTTCTTACTTGGCTACAATGCCTTTTTTCATACCCTGCTGCTGCTGCTGCTAAGTTGCCTCAGTCGTGTCCGACTCTGTGCGACCCCATAGACGGCAGCCCACCAGGCTCCCCCGTCCCTGGGGTTCTCCAGGCAAGAACACTGGAGTGGGTCGCCATTTCCTTCTCCAGTGCATAAAGTGAAAAGTGAAAGTGAAGTCGCTCAGTCGTGTCCAACTCTTTGCAACCCTGTGGACTGCAGCCTACCAGGCTCCTCCGTCCATGGGATTTTCCAGGCAGGAATACTGGAGTGGGTCGCCATTTCATACCCTACACAATACTAATTCAGTGGAATTGTTTCTCATTGTCTCAAAATGTGTTTTTGTATTTTTTATATTAATTTACATCTAACCCAGGTCCAGCCATTACATTTTGTTATATATTTTAAATCTTTTCTATCATACCATTAACTTTGTGGATACTTAAGTCACTTACTTGTTAGAATATCCCATCTCTATTGGTCTGTCTTGTTTCCTTGTGGTGATGTCTAACTTGTTTTTCCCTCTCCCATTTTTAAATGGATATTAGTTCAGGAGGATTGAATAGATTTAGATTATACTTTCTGGTAAGACTGCTTAATAGGTGATGCTATGTGCTTCATATTCCATCACATCAAAAGGCACTCATCACTGGGTTCAGGGAAGCCTGGCGTGCTGCAGTCCGTGGGGTCGCAGAGTTGGAAACAGCTGAGCGACTGAACTGAAATGAGCTACTGACAACCTGACATTCCACCTTAAAGTTCCCGGTTAACTTTTCCATAATGGTTTTAACCACTGATGATTATTGCCTGCACTAATATTATTATAGATTATAAAGTGGGGTATTTCCTGTTCATATCCTACATGAGCAAATTGTTTTTTCTTAAAACAAATAGCTATTAACTAAAATACTAACATTTCACTTTTTTATACTTAAGATTTCTTTTTTTAGCCTTACATAGGTAGAAGAAGTTATGATAAAGGAGGTAACCTAAAATTTAAAAGATGTGAGTTTGTTTTGTAGGACAAAGTTCTGTATCAGAACGTACAGAAATAAATCAAAACTCATTTTACAAATGTGTTCAAACTCTTGTGTTACTACAGACACTTCCTCCAGAAAGAAATACAGAGCTAGAAACAGAAAAACATTTGATAAAGCTGTCTTTGAGTATAAAATTTCAAATACATTCTAGCTCTTTTTAAGGGGAGAGAGAGAAAAGTACTGTCAAATTTTGTAACTGTTTTAATTAAACCTAAGGGTGTATTAATTTTTTAAAATTCTTCCTTTGACAAATTCCTAAGCCAGTTTAAAGAGAATACTGCAGTAGTAATCACAGTAACTATAGTCCAGTGTCTTTCACAGTATTCTCTTTAATCTGGCTTAGGAAATTGTGAAAGGAAGAATTTAAAAGAATTAATACACCCTTAGGTTTAATTAAAACAGTTACAAAATTTGACAGTACTTTTCTCTCTCTTCCCTTAAGAGCTAGAGTGTATTTGAAATTTTATACTTGATTGCTTTTCTAAATGATGTTTGTAAATTTTTATTTATATCAAAAATCTTTTTGTGCTTGTATGAATTACAGGTTTTTAAAAATATTTTTCTTTATGATTTCTGTTATAATACATTAAAACTATTAAAATACAGTATATAGATTAAAAATTACATTAAAATTATTATTTGGGTCCATACAACCTGAGAATAGTCTTTCATATTTGAATAGCAGCAAAACTTCATCCAAAATTGTTTTCCCCTTTCTTCTGCAATGTAACATCCCCATCATAATAAGTTTTTAAAAACTAAGTCATAAATAGGATAATTATGTGTTGGACTATTTTTGCATCAGATTTCTAATGCAGGTTGTATCGTTTATCTCTCAACAGAATAATTTAGAGATCTATAAAATACAAAGTAAGAGCTCAATAATAATTACAAAAATGGCTAATATTTATTGCACTCTTACTGTATGATAGGAACTTCCCTAAGCTTTTTGCTTTCGTGATCTCACCTTCACAATAGCCTAATGAGAGGTATCCACATTTTAATGAGGAAACAAGTACAGAAGCGTCAAGTACCTCACCAAGGTTCATACAGTCAGTATGTAAGTGGCGTGTGTGAGACTCCAGTCTTGACACAACTGTGAGTCCTGCACCACTGCTTTCTGTACTGTGTCATCCCCACCACCACTGCCGGCTCTCAGATTGATCTTCTGAATACTGGGCTGCACCAGACACAGCACCTCTGCTGTATGGCCAAAGTTCTCCTCTCTGCGGTATCTGCTCTCCTCAGCCTTTCAGAGGTGATAAGCAAAGACATTATCTATTCATTGACTTTTGCGAGGAGTTCAGGATTTTAATGAAAAAGTAGCAGCTTATCATCCTGCACCAGATAGAATGTGGAACAGTGCCTTACATACCTACCATATGGTGGGTGTCAACAGACGTTATTGTGTATAACATGTTATGAAGCACCCTGAGCAGGCCTGAAACCAATATGAAAGGTTAATTTCTGCCCTAGATAATCTTTCACCACCTCAAAATTTTGTTTAATGCTTTTACCACTCAGAACCATGTCATAGGCCACCTTTGGCAAACATATCATGCCTATAGTATACAGGAGGAATCTCTCCAAAGTCCTGAATTATTAAATTTTTAAGTTCCTGGGAGAAAAGGTTACATGCTTATCATCTTCTTATTGAAGAAGACTAACGACAGAATATTATGCAAGGTGGACTGCATCAATAATTTGACAGTATATTGTGTCTGTGTAAATTAAGGTGTAAAGTGACATTATTTATAAAGAAAGTTTTCATTTGTATTATATCGAAAGCACTTTTTAAATTTCACATTTAGTTTGTAAAGTTGCAGAAGATAGAAACTGGCTTTTGTGTCTGTTCTTCCTTTCTGTACTCTGTATGTGGTAGGTCTATGAAGTATTGAAGTAAAGTTGCTCAGTCATGTCTGACTCTGCGACCCCATGGACTGTAGCCTACCAGGCTTCTCCCACGGGATTTCCCAGGCAAGAGTACTGGAATGGATTGCCATTTCCTTCTCCAGAGGATCTTCCCCACCCAGGAATCGAGCCCAGGTCTCCCGCACTGTAGGCAGAAGTCCTCTATGAAGTATTAAACAAATGTAAAAGCAGTGAAGTTCCTCACCGGGCTTCTTACACCGTTGTATTTTGGTTACTGATAATAACACTTTTTAAAGGACCTTCAGATTAACTTTTTTCCATAAATTCTCTTATTTCACTTAAAATATTTAAGAAGTTAAAGGGCCATAATTTCTTTTTCAGTCTTTTTAATGGATCCCATTATTTAGAGATTTTACAGAAAATGACAGCAGATGACCAGAGATACAGTGGATCAATTTACCTGTCCGATCCTCGTCTTACAGCAAATGGTTTCAAGATAAAATTGACACCAGGTATGATACTGTGATTTAATATTTCCCGAGTCAGAAAAATAAATCTTGTTCCAAAAGTTACTTTTGGGTTTCATAGTTTACAGATATGATGGCATGGTTTTGTCTTACCAAAAGTATAATGTCAGCTGTATAAAAACAGTGTATTTCCAAAAGGTCACTTCTGCCTGAAACAAGCAAGTTTGGCATATCTTTCAGTCCATTGCTTTATGTTTAGCATTTTCATAACTAACTAGCAACTATAATTTTTGCCATTCTTTGTCACAACATGCATACTGCCTGCTGTGTCTAACTAAATTATTAAATACTCCTTAGCTGATGAAGCAGAAATAAACATGTAGAATACTGGAATCAGCTAACAAAATTGGACATCTCTTTTTCTTTTCTAAAATGATTTACTTGTTTTCCCAATGAGGTGTCTAACATCAGCAGTATTACTGTTTGGAGAGTGAATGATTTGCTTCCATGGCTTTGCTATCAGTTCCGTTCAGTCACTGAGTCGTTGTCTGACTCTTTGCAGCCCCATGGACTGCAGTATGCCAGGGTTCCCTGTCCATCACCAACTCCTGGAGTTTACTCAAGCCCATGTCCATCAAGTCGGTGATGCCATCCAACCGTCTCATCCTCTGTGGTCCCCTTCTCTTCCTGCCTTCAGTCTTTCCCAGCATCAGGGTCTTTTTCAGTGAGTCAGTTCTTCACATCAGGTGGCCAAAGTATTGGAGCTTCAGCTTCAGCATCAGTCCTTCCAGTAAATATTCAGTGTTGATTTCCTTTAGGATTGACTGATTTGATCTCCTTGCAGCCCAAGAGACTCTTCAAGAGTCTTCTCCAACACCACATTTCAAAAGCATCAATTCTGTGATGCTCAGCTTTCTTTATGGTTCCAGGCTTTGCTGTAAAGCCTGTTATAACACTGTTTGTTTACTGGAAATTCACCAGGTGAGGAGAAAAAGGAAAATTCATCTGGCTAGGAGACTTCAGTTTTCCTGGCTGACCTCTTCTCTGTTCTTTCATAGTTTCCATACGTAACTGCCTCTGCCCTATCTACCCCTGCTTCCCAGGTGGCGCTAGTGGTAAGGAGCCCATCTGCAAACGCAGGCCAGTCTTGTCCTGTTACTTTGCCTTCTGTCTGGTATCAAGAGGCACAAAGATTCCAGGACGAGTGATTCCACTGTCCCCTGGCCCACTCGCCCCCTAAACTTCCCATGCTCAAAGTGTAATTATTGTGTGCATGAGTATTACATGTATTAATTCACTTGATCTTTCTAAAGGCCTATGGTTCAGTTACTGTGCACATTTTTTACAGTTAGAAACATCAAGGCAGGAGAAATTTAGTTTGCTTAAGTATACAGAATTAATGATAGAACCAGAATATGAACCCAAGCAATCTGCCTTTAGGGAGGTGGGAGGGGGGTTCAGGATGGGGAACACATGTAAATCCATGGCTGATTCATGTCAATGTATGGCAAAAATCACTGCAATATTGTAAAGGAATTAGCCTCCAACTAATAAAAATAAATGGGAAAAGAAAAACCTAGCTCTTAATTTATGTTGATTCCCTATTAAAATTGATATATTTTCTTCATGAAGATCAGTTAGCATAGTACATTCCAGTGGTATGTGTTTAAATTTTCTCTTCTCTTCCCATTCTTCAGTGCCTCCTTTCTGATTTGAACTGACTTACACTCATTTTTGGGGGAAACAGTGGAAACAGTGTCAGACTTTGTTTTGTTGGGCTCCAAATCACTGCAGATGGTGACTGCAGCCATGAAATTAAAAGACGCTTACTCCTTGGAAGGGAAGTTATGACCAACCTAGACAGCATATTAAAAAGCAGAGACATTACTTTGCCAACAGAGGTCCGTCTAGTCAAGGCTATGGTTTTTCCAGTGGTCATGTATGGATGTGAGAGTTGGACTGTGGAGAAAGCTGAGCGCCGAAAAAAATTGATGCATTTGAACTGTGGTGTTGGAGAAGACTCTTGAGAGTCCCTTGGACTGCAGGGAGATCAAACCAGTCCATCCTAAAGGAGATCAGTCCTGGGTGTTCATTGGAAGGACTGATGCTGAAGCTGAAACTCCAGTACTTTGGCCACCTCTTGCGAAGAGTTGACTCACTGGAAAAGACCCTGATGCTGGGAGGGATTGGGGGCGGGAGGAGAAGGGGACGACAGAGGATGAGATGGCTGGATGGCATCACCGACTCAATGGACATGAGTTTGAGTAAACTCCGGGAGTTGGTGATGGACAGGGGCATGCTGCAGTTCATGGGGTCGCAAAGAGTCGGACACGACTGAGTGACTGAACTGAACTGACCACTCATTTTTTAGGTCCTCCTAGAAATCTTTTTTCCTCAGGGCTTCTGACATTTAAAAATTTATTTGAAGTATGAATCAAGGAGTTTATGTATGTGTGTAGCAAGATATTTTTTTCTTAGTCTATTTTCCTAAATAACTTTGTGGTATTGGTGGCAAGTACTTTTTTTTTTTCATGAAAAATGTTATCACAGCAATTTTTGTTTAAGTTGGGATAATTAACCTGTCTCTTTCAGGTACATGTTTGTTTTTGAGTTACCCAATAAGTTTCTATTTCAGGGATGCATTCAGCTCTTAACTTGTAGATAGTGTTTTTAAGTCCTATAAATGTGGGGTACCTTGCATAGCACCAGAGATATAAAAATGAATAAGCTAGTCATCTGCAAGCTGACTTGATTTGGGTGGAATTTACTCAGATTATCATCAGCATTGTTTCTCTTCTCTGTAACAGATCAAGGTAAAAATATTCATGTTTCCTTTCTTCATTTTTTTTTTTAGCTGTTTTCTTCTTCATTATTTTTTGTCATTTTTTTTAAAGACTATTTCTCATCTTTTAGTGAGTTTTACTATATTGGACTAACTTTTGATCAGCAGTTTGCCAGTTGCTGGAAAACATCTTTACATAAAAGCACTTGAAAGAGAGGAAGAATACATAAGGCTTTAAGGAAAAAGATTCTTAATGTGACCTTAAATTTGATTGTTAATGAGAATAGCTTTTGTTCTATATCAGTAAGAATTACCCATTTTGGGAACTGCAAGCTTGTCAGACCAGACCTTATTAAAATATTTTCAGAAAATTGGGAAGCATTTCACAGAATTTTATGAAAACTTCTTGAACATGATTCTAAATGTCTCTTTAAGTTTTCCTTATCTATATTCTGCAAACACAGAGATTAACATATTGTTCAATTTCCTCATTTGTTCCTATATACTTTATACCCGGGCTTCTCTGGTGACTTAAGATGGTAAAAGAATCCACGTGCAATGCAGGAGACCTGGGTTCAATCCCTGGGTTGGGAAGATCCCCTGGAGGAGGGCATGGGAACCCACTCCAGTATTCTTGCCTGGAGAATCCCCATGGACAGAAGAGCCTGGTGGGTTACAGTCCATGGGGTTGTAAAAAGTCAGACACAACTGAGCAGCTAAGCACATAGCAATTTTTACCCATATCCACAAAATTTTCCTGCATTCATGTATTAAGTATTAGCTGTTTCAGTCTAATCATACTGCAAATAATATAGAACTAGCAATAATGAAGAGTCTCTTGACTGATAAATTTTACTGTCTGTATATATATAAAAAGATGTTTACTGGAATATTCTGCTACTTCCTCTTTGCCTATCTAATCCCTGTTTCAAGTCCCATTTAAGTTCAGTTGGTTGCTCAGACTCTCATTTTGTCTCCCTTTACTGAACTCTCTATTTTATCCCTGAACACTTGATTATGTATCTTCTTGTATTGTTCTCCAGTTGTTTCCTCGGAGGAACATTAGGATGCGCACTCTGTTTATTATACCACCAGTGCATCTGCCACTCAGGTCAAGGAACTAGTCTGTAAATGGCAGGTTAGGAATGGGTTCATTGACATCTCAGGACCTGAAACTCTTCAAGCTACATCACTCCTCTTTTAAAATTTTCCCTTTGATAAGCTTATCCAACATCGGACTATCTCTTTTTCTTTACCTATAGGTAACATCTTGTGGTCTGCAATTTTAAGAATACTGTTTCACAGATAGAGCCAAAAAACCCAAATCTTTGCTATTTTCTAAAAATCAAAATGTGTTCTAAAGCTGAATTTGATGCTTGGGAATGCATGTTGTTAATGTTATTTTACCCCATTATAGATCCACTGATGTTGCTAATTTTTAATCACTAAATTAGTTAAAGAAGTTCAAATAATATGTCAGATTTAAACATTATTCTAAAAACTAAACATTAGTATTTCGTTTCTTCAGACTGCTAATATATTAATAAGTTACTATAGTGCTAATCATTCTGTAACTTATATGTATATTTATCAACACTTTGTGCACCTTAAACTTACACAATGTTATGTGTCAAACACATCTAAATAAAGCTGGAAAAAAATAACTATTTTTATAATAACTTGTAAGATAAACTAATCTTCAAAATAATGCAGGCTTTTAGATACTAAACCAGTAGGACAGAATTTGAATATCAACAGTTGTTAAAACATTTAAGCCAGTTTTATTTTAATAAATATCATGGGACTCCATTTTCTCTCCAAAGTAAGAAATGTTCTAAACAAATGTAGGGAACAGAACAATAATATCTGAGATTAAATGATATAAAGTACATGTGGTTTCTTTGAGCACTTATGACTTAATGTGAATGTGAAATCCTATGGGAAATTATTATTTGTTCTTCAACTAGGGAACAAAACTTTGTCCGACAATATTAGATTCTAATGAATGTTCACCAAATATTTTAACAGTGATTTTGTTTTTCTTAGACATTTTCTGGAATACAGTTTAAACAAAATTTAACTATATGTGGTTTTATTTTTTATTTTTTTCTTTTAGGAGTTTCCATTGCTGAAAACTACTTGGAAATAGAAGGAATGGCTAATTGCCTTCCATTCTATGGAGTGATGGATTTAAAAGAAATCCTTAATGCTATATTAAACAAAAATGCAAAGGAAGTTTATGAATGTAGACCTCGCAAAGTGATAAGTTATTTAGAGGTATGTATTATTAGCTTATGTAGATTGGCTAGATTTTAAGATACTTAACTCTTTCTTAATAGTAAATGATTTCAAAATCCTATAAGGTTTGTTATCTGTTTACAAGAGGAAAAGCTGCTTAAATGTCACCTGGAGGAAACTTTCCCTAACCATACTCTCTTTATCACATTACTCAGTTTAATTTTGTGCAATTACTTGCTGAAATTTTGTCTTTTTTTAAAAAATTTATTTATTTTTAATTGGAGGATAATTGCTTTACAATGTTGTGTTGGTTTCTGCCATACATCAACATGAATGAGTCATAGGTATACATATACTCCCTCCCTCATGAGCCTCCCTCCCATTTCCCACCCCATTCCACTCCTCTAGCTTGTTTAGGTTATCTTTTTATCTTTCTGCTTCTCTGCACTAGAATGTCAGTTTCAGAAGAGCAAAGTGTTAGTTGCCCAGTCATGCCCGATTCTTTGCGACCCCATGGACTGCAGCCCCCCACGCTCTTCTGTCCATGAAATTTTCCAAGCAAGGATACTGGAGTGGGTTGCCATTTCCTTCTCCAGGGGATCTTGCCAACCCAGGGGTCGAACCCGGGTCTGCTGCACTGCAGGCAGATTCTTTACCGATTGAGCTACAAGGGAAGACCAGAAGAGCAAAGATGTTGCTTTTCTTGTTCTCTGCTGTATTTGTAGAGCCTACAACAGTGACTAGCACATAATTGTTGTGTTGAGTGAGTGAATAATTAAAGAATATAATCAATTTTCTGTCTTTCTATTTGCCAGTAAAAACCTGTTTTCTGCTTCAGGTATATGACAGTAAAATGTACGGCTTTCTCTCCACAGGGAGAAGCAGTACGTCTGTCTAGACAATTACCCATGTACTTATCAAAAGAGGACATCCAAGATATTATCTACAGAATGAAGCACCAGTTTAGAAATGAAATTAAAGGGTGTGTTCATGGTCGCCCATTTTTTCATCATTTAACGCATCTTCCAGAAGCTACATAATTATGTTTAAGAAAATTTGTTACTATTGAAGTCAATATGATCATAAAATAATGAATCAGGTTTAAACTATCTGTGTACTATCATGTGTTAAATACTTGTTTTGTAAATAAGGAATCACTGGCCTGTTTGTATATTGAAAAAATTTTTTTAACTATGAAAAATTAATAAACTAATATAGACTATTAATTTATTTTATTCTCAAGAACCAACCTTCATAATAACTATTGGTTATAAACTCTAAATTGAAAAATACTTAACTGTTCTTGGGTGGTTGATTGACTCAGCCCAGTGAGTCAGCTGTTCTCATCAGATGATTCCAGTACTTTGGTCATCTGATTCAAAGGGCTGACTCATTGAAAAACGTCCCTGATGCTGGGAAGGACTGAGGGCAGGAGAAGAGGGCATCAGAGGAGGAGATGCCTGGATGCTGTCACCGATGCAGGGGACATGGATTGGGCAAACTTCTGGAGATGGTGAGGGACAGGGAGGCCTGGTGTGCTACAGTCCAAAAAGTCATGACTGGATGACTGAACGACAACAACATGAACTAAATTGTATCCTCCACATTTTTCAGGTGAAGCCCTGACCCCAAGTGAGATGGCATTTGCAGATGAACCTTTTAAAGAGGCAGTTAGGTGTAGTGACGGTGGGGCTGGGGCACTCCTGGTGGGATTAGCGCCCTTACAAGAAGAGATACCACAGAGTTTGCTCATTCTCTGTTATCCTTTCACCAACAATCCCAACTCGTATTCCAGCTGCTGGACAGAGAGAAAAAGTGGCCCTCTCTAATCCAGGAGTAGAGCTCTTACCAGAAACCAATCATGTCAGCACCTTGACTTAGACTTCTAGCCTCTAGAACTATAAGAAAATGCCTGTTGTGCTTTTTAAGTCCAGTCTATGGTATTTGCTGTGGCAGCCTGAACTAATACACGGGGTTCCATGCTCTGCAGGGAAACTAAAACATTCACCTGGAGTATCTGACAGAAGGTATCAATCTTGCGTAAAGGAAAAGCGGAAAAGGAACGGAGGAACGGGGTAGGGGAAAAGTAAGGAAATAACAATGTAGAGAAACAAGATAAAACATAACTTCAAATCCTGTTATTTACCTCTATTTGGGGGTAACAGTTGAGAAGTTGCTGTTTCTTATATGGAAATTGTTGGGCTGTGGGATCAAAATTTCTCAGAACATGGGAAGATACAGATTTTTTAAAAAATTTAGATTTGAGTATTCATAATGCATGTGTTCTTTGAAAACCAGATCCCACAGTTCAGTTGAGTCACTCAGTCGTGTCCAACTCTATGACCGCGTGGACTGTAGCACGCCAGGCCTCCCTGTCTATCACCAACTCCAGGAGTTTACTCAGACTCATGTCCATTGAGTCCGTGATGCCATCCAACCATCTCATCCTTTGTCGTCCCCTTCTCCTCCTGCCTTCAATCTTTCCCAGCATCAAGGTCTTTTCAAATGAGTCGGCTCTTTACATCAGGTGGCCAAAGTATTGGAGTTTCAGCTTCAGCATCAGTCCTTCCAATGAACACCCAGGACTAATCTCCTTTAGGATGGACTGGTTGGATCTCCTTGCAGTCCAAGGGACTCTCAAGAGTCTTCTCCAACACCACAGTTCAAAAGAATCAATTCTTTGGTGCTTAGCTTTCTTTATAGTCCAACTCTCACATCAATACATGACTACTGGAAAAACCATAACCTTGACAAGATGGACCTTTGTTGACAAGGTAATGTCTCTGCTTTTTAATATGCTCTCTAGGTTGGTCATAACTTTCCTTCCAAGGAGTCTTTTCATTTCATTGCTGCAATCACCATCTGCAGTGATTTTGGAGCCCAGAAAAAATAAAGTCAGCCACTGTTTCCACTGTTTCCCCATCTATTTCCCATGAAGTGATGGGACTGGATGCCATGATCTTAGTTTTCTGAATGTTGAGCTTTAAGCCAACTTTTTCACTCTCTTTCACTTTCATCAAGAGGCTCTTTAGTTCTTCTTCGCTTTCTGCCATAAGGGTGGTGTTATCTGCATATCTGAGGTTACTGATATTTCTCCCAGCAGTCTTGATTCCAGCTTGTGCTTCACACAGTCCAGCGTTTCTCATGATGTACTCTACATATAAAATAAGCAGGGTGGCAATATACAGCCTTGACATGCTCCTTTTCCTATTTGGAACCAGTCTGTTGTTCCAGGTCCAGTTCTAACTTGCTTCCTGACCTGCATACAGATTTCTCAAGAGGCAGGTCAGGTGATCTGGTATTCCCATCTCTTGGACAATTTTCCACAGTTTATTGTGATCCACACAGGCTTTGGCATATTCAGTAAAGCAGAAATAGATGTTTTTCTGGAACTCTCTTGCTTTTTCGGTGATCCAGCAGATGTTGGCAATTTGATCTCAGATTCCTCTGCCTTTTCTAAATCCAGCTTGAACATCTGGAAGTTCATGGTTCACGTACTGTTGAAGCCTGGCTTAGTGAGTTTTGAGCATTACTTTACTAGTGTGTGAGATGAGTGCAGTTGTGTGGTAGTTTGAGCATTCTTTAGCATTGCCTTTCTTTGGGATTGGAATGAAAACTGACCTTTTCCAGTCCTGTGGCCACTGCTGAGTTTTCCAAATTTGTTGGTATGTTGAGTACAGCACTTTAACAGCATCATCTTTTAGGATTTGAAACAGCTCAACTGGAATTCCATCATCTCCACTGGCTTTGTTTGTAGTGATGCTTCCTAAGGCCCACCTGACTTCGAATTCCAGGATGTCTGGCTCTAGGTGAGTGATCGCACCATCATGATTATCTGGGTCGTGAAGATCTTTTTGTCTAGTTCTGTGTATTCTTGCCACCTCTTCTTAATATCTTCTGCTTCTGTTAGGTCCATACCATTTCTGCCCTTTATTGAGCCCATCTTTGCATGAAATGTTCCCTTGATATCTCCAATTTTCTTCAAGAGATCTCTAGTCTTTCCCATTCTATTGTTTTCCTCTATTTCTTTGCATTGATCACTGAGGAAGGCTTTCTTATCTCTTTCTGCTATTCTTTGGAACTCTGCATTCTTTGCTTTTTGCTTCTCCTCACAGCTATTTGTAAGGCCTCCTCAGACAGCCATTTTGCTTTTTTGCATTTCTTTTTTTGCGGATCATCTTTATCCCTGACTCCTGTACAATGTCACAAACCTCCGTTCATAGTTCATCAGACACTCTATCAGACCTAATCCCTTGAATCTATTTCTTACTCCCACTGTATAATCGTAAGGGATTTGATTTCGGTCATACCTGAATGGTCTAGTGGTTTTGCCTACTTTCTTCAATTGAAGTCTGAATTTGGCAATAAGGAGTTCATGATCTGAGCCTCAGTCCGCTCCCAATCTTGTTTTTGCTGACTATATAGAGCTTCTTCATCTTTGGCTGCAAAGAATATAACCAATCTGATTTTGGTATTGACCATCTGGGGATGTCCATGTACAGAGTCTTCTCTTGTGTTGTTGGAAGAGGGTGTTTGCTATGACCAGTGTGTTCTCTTGGCAAAACTCTGTTAGCCTTTGCCCTGCGTCATTCTGTATTCCAAGGACAAATTTGCCTGTTACTCTCTGTGTTTCTTGACTTCCTACTTTTGCATTCCAGTCCCCTGTAATGAAAAGGACATCTTTTTGGGGTGTTCGTTCTAGAAGGTCTTGTAGGTTTTCATAGAACCATTCAACTTCAGCTTCTTCAGCATTACTGGTCAGGACACAGACTTGGATTACTGTGATACTGAATGGTTTGCCTTGGAAACGAACAGAGATCACTTTGAATGAGGAATACAGAAATATTAGCTGAAATCATCCTGACTTCTTGTGTAGACAAGAAAGACAATGACTCTCCATTCTTCCAGTAATCTGTTATCACCACAAACTAGCCAAATGTGAGAGACGTCTCTCTAATTCCATGATGGCCTCATCCCAGAGAATCTAAACTGAAGACCCTCACAAGGCAATGAAGGCCTCAATAACTGTCAAGTGAACTGTCTCTGTTACCGCAGAGCCCATATCCCATTTATCTGGATCAGTTGTACTGTCTGAATTCTCAAGCAGCCTGCTCTACCTGCTTTTAACTTGGCTAAAGTATTCTCTGAATCTTAATGTGTGCTTCCCTGCTTAAAAACTGTATTAGCTTCCCACATCCTTGGGATAAAATCTACCAAATTCTTAGAGGCCCAGGAGGTCCTTTAGGATGAAGGTATGGCCTGTCATTCTTATCCAATCTCCATTTCTCAAGAACCAGCAATGGAGGATTTCTTGCACTAAGCAATGCATTGGCACATACTATTCCTCCTGCTTGAAATACATTTTTTTTTCTCCTGGATAATTCTTAACCGCTTGCTAGTTTCTTACACAGGTTTCTCCAAGGGAGTAGGTGCCCCTCTACTTTTCCATAGTACATACTATGTGTGTTCTCAGTCATGTCTGACTCCTTGGGGCCCCATGGACTGTAGCCCACCAGGCGTCTCTGTCCATGAGATTCTCCAGGCAAGAATATTAGAGTGAGATGCAATTTCCTACTCCAGAGAATCTTCCTGACCCAGGGATGGAACACCCATCTCTTAAGTCTCCTGCACTGGCAGGTGGCTTCTTTACCACTGCACCACCTGGGTAGTACATGCTACATAACCCCGTAACAATTATATTACACTGCAATAATATTTCTCAACTGGAGGGCAAGGAATGTCTTTTTTCTGTATTCTGTGTTCAGCACTGAGTGTGACACTGAGTAATGTCACTGAATAAACAGACAAATATATAACAAAAGGAGAGATGGGAGAGAGAAAGTGATTCTGAGTCCAATTTCAGTGGAAGAAATCTACTCCCCACTCCCCCACTGATTAGTTTAAAAGATTTTATGGAAAAAAACAGACCTCTTCAAAAGCAGTTAAATATGGTCAATAGTCATACTGGCCATATTAACTGAAAACTAACTGAAAATCCCATGTCCTGCTAATGAATATTCATAACAAATGGGGGAAAAAT